TAAATTAACTAGTACGTGCTAACAGCTCTGGCGGCTCGTGCCAAACTCCGAGCTTGGCATGATGTGGATACTTTGCTCACAACAAAGGTGAGACCCTACTGATTTTCATTGAATCATGTATGCCTGATTCATGCTGCTTGGCAGAATGATTCATTATGCCAGTGATGTGCTTATCTCTCTGCCCTCATACAATGCTTAATGTACTAGTTAATTTATAGGAAAAGACTTGTTCCAATTATTCTCTTTGAATTTTATAATGTATCCTACAGGTAAGTTATATCAGAAAGGGACAGCAGCTTTGGCCAATGCATCTTCCTTTTAGGACATATGCAAAAAAATAATAATGGAGGAGATATCCAAGAACAGCTATTGCCTCTCCTAAGTGATGCTTAGTTATGCATCCTCAGGCAGTCACACGCTCTGGTGCTATTTTCTTTTCTTTTTTTTTTTTTCAATTTGTGATTTCAGAATTGGTTAGGCTATACCAAAAAAAAAGCTCCTATTGGTTTCCATCGAGTGGTGGAGATATTGCAGCGGAACAACGCCCCGGTGCAGGTATGTGAGCAAGCTGTCCGGTAGTCTGTTTCTGATATAGTCCATTGGTCAACAGGACGTTGCCTCCATTGTGAAATTTCTTCATGTGCCCATTTCCCAAATACTTTTGTACACTGTTCATGAAAACTAGAAGAAATATTTTTCTAGTTGGGGTAGGCCCTGTTTGTTTTCATACACTTTGGATTATAGAGTGGACCAACTACCTTTTGGAAAGTGGTTGGTGAAGAAATTAATTTGGAATAAAATAAGCTTACTTCAGGGTGAAACTGCTGTGGAATTAAGTGAGGGGAGATAAGCAAAAGATCATGAATATTCTGCTGATATTTTCTTGTCTTGTTCCTACAGGTCCTGCAGGAGTACGTGCATTTAATAGAAGATGTTGAGACTAAGCTGAATCTTGCTATGAAATACAAGTGCCACGATGTTGTTATAGATGTATGTTTTGCATATTTTCTGTGGGAAATTGTGGAACAATTTAGTGATTCTTTAGTGAAAAATTCTTAAATTATTCTTGAAATACTTGAAGGAACTATCATTGGCAGTATACTGTAGTTTGTATTTCAGAGCTGCTGCCTGCCTCAATCTCCTTATAGTATTATTATTAAAATTGCTTCCAGGATGGGTATGTTTAAAGAGATCCCAGAACAGCTGTTTGCACCTCTGAATGCACCTTTTTTCATATCACTATCATCATATTATGTTTGACCCTACCAGGCAAGATATGTCTTTTATTACGAGTTTGAGCTCACTTATCAATGAATCAATCAATACTAGGTGGTATTCAAAGTAGCCTTCCCAACATTATGAGTTTATTTCTTTGTACTTTCTTTTCATTTTTTTAATGCTGTGTTAATCAGTTCTCACAACTTAAACACTAAATTTTCCACATCAGCAGAAGATTGCCAGCATCTATATATATATACATTGATTCAGTAAAATGTAATAAATATATAAAATCAACACATATTTAGGCAGTACTGTGCATGCCAGATTGATTTCTTTTAAGTATAAAGCAGAAGGTAAATTCATGTCATGTTGGTAGCTAGTCATTCAAGAAGGTTCTTTGGCGTTCCTTCTAAGTCAAAGAAAGGGCATCTTCTGTGGAAGATTAGGAAAATTCTTTGCTGACCTTGTTTTAGTTTTCCTGCCTTTGAGAGATGCTTGCCCCTTTTTTAGCCATAATCACAGCCAATTTGATAGCTGTGCTAGATAGTAAATTCATTGACTTCTAAGAGCCAGCATCAGTTGTCTAAATGTTACCCATTTCCATTATCATGTTAGCCTAAAAGCAGAAATGAAATATTGGCTTGAAAAGTATCAGCTAAAGTTAACCTTCTATTGTTAATCTTTCATTGCAGTTATCACACATTAACTTAAATGAATAGAAAAGTGAATGTGTAAACTCAGTGAACTAGATAATAGAATGTACTGACCACTTCTGCATCCAAAAATGTTAAGGAAAGTCCCAAATGTCTATAGAGATTCTCAGTCATCCAGGTCATGGTTGTTCCAAAGGTGTTTTTTTTTTAAAAAAAAAATCCCAATCTTTGTTGTAGTAGCCATTAAGTCCATATCAGCCTATGGATGAAGCAGCTAGATTTCCAAATAGCTACTGGGAAGGAATGGGTGATGACTGTTTAGATCACTGATTTTGAGGATGTTGATAAAAGAAAATAGGAATTTTTTTTTTGTTTCATTGGCTTCTCTTTTGGATATCTGCCAGACATACAAAGACTTGAAGGACCGTCAGCAACTGATGGCATACAGATGCAAAGTTGAACGGGGTTGTCCAGCAGAGGAGAAGATCGACACTATCCTCAGTAACCCAGTAAGAAAGAACACATGAGGTTACATGTATTTGCTAAAGCCCAGGGGAAAAGAATAAAACCCCACCTACTGCATATTTCGGAGTATAAGACGCACCAAGGTTTTGAAGAGGCAAATTAAAAAAAAGTAGGTAGGTAGATAGTGGGATAGAGAGGTAGAGAAAGCGAGAGAAATACAATAAGGAGGGAGGGAGAGAGAGAGAGAGAGTAGTTAGGTAGGTAGATAAATTGAAAGAGAGAGAGAGAAGTAGAGAGATAGAAAGATAGAGAAATACAGTAGGTAGGGGGAGAGAAAGAGTGTAGGTAGGTAGGTAGGTAGGTAGAGGGAGAGAGAGAGAAATAGAAAGAGATATAGGTATATAGGTAGGGAGAGAGAGTAGGTAGGTAGGTTGGTAGGTAGAGGGAGAGAAAGAGAAAGAAATACAGTAGGTAGATAGGAACAGAATAGATAAGTTGGTAGGTAGAGTGGGGGAGAGAGAAATACAGTAGATAAGTAGGAAGAGAAAGTGGTAGGTAGGTACATAGATAGAAGGGGGAGAGAGAAATATAGTAGGTAAGTAGGGAGAAGGATAGAGAAAGAAAGAGATAGAGAGAAATACAGTAGATTGGTAGGGAGCGAGAGAGAGTAGGTAGGTTGGTCGGTAGAGGGATAGAGAGAAATAGAGAGAGAAATACAGTAGGTAGTAGGGGGAGAGAGAGAGAGAGTAGGGAGGTAGATAGATGTTTCCAGGTGTATTTATCCATGTGCTGGAGAAGGAAATCGCTGGAGCACCTAAGACTTTGTTTCTGCTAGCCCAGCACTTGATCAATGTAATTCTCACCAATCAGTTAAAGAGCTTTCCAAAAGGAAAAAAAANTTTTGGCTGGAAACAGATCTTTGACATCTATGAAAAAGAAAATGAATTCCTCTGCATGAAGACCAATGGGAATTTATGCTAGGTCTAAGAAGTTAGTTCTTATGCCACAATCTATTTTACATTATAACTTTATATTATGTTCTGCCAACTTCGGAGCAAAACAAAAATCTATCAATATTGTTTTTAATTCTTGAGAATTCTGCATTGATGGCAAAGGAAAGCAAGCTATGTTTAGTAGACATAGAGATTATCCACGATTAGTTGCTTTACAGCAGCTAATCATATATATCAGACATATTTGCATAGCTTTAACACCTCTGAAGTACCTTAGATGTTCTAAGGTACTTCAGAGGTGTTAAAGTAAGATCCTCAAAGTGGAAGGTGCTGCCCATCTTTTCCTTTGCCATGGAGATTAGGAAATAAATGAAATTACTTGAGGAGGAATTATCAGGCAGACATAAGTGGAACCTTCATTTCTTATGGATCCTCAGAGTTATAACTGGGGTTTTGCCTGAACATTTGACCTGTGTAGTTGGGCTAGAATGACTTCAAGATTTTCTTGAAAATACTAGAAAGAGGATTCCTACTACAGTGGATAGCGCTTGATGATGTAAACCCAGAGGCATAGTACTAAATGACAAAGTGTTTTTCCTCAGGGGCTGGGGTTTCTGGGGCTTGTAATTAGGCTAAATCTGTCTCCCTGAAAACAGTCACTTCCACTGGTTGCCTCTGGAATTGCTCACACAATCAGCTAGCCAGACGTAGTTATAGATCTTTCCAATATGGTTTTTGTTTATGACTCTCACTCTTCTCTAGGTGTGTTCCTTGGAAAGGTTCCATTCCTTGCAGGACAAATTATTGCTGCTGGATGAAGCTGTTGCGTTGCATGATGGGAATGTTATTACAGCTGTAAGTCCTGCTCCAATGTAAAGCAGTGGGAGATGGAAACGGCAGTTCACTTTGAGTCCCATTTAATTTCTATTTCTGTATATGAGAATGTGGTTACTTTTATATTATTATTTTTTCATAAATGATTCCCCTAAATTGCTGGGATCTTCTAGATGAGGCAGTTGACCTTTTTGTTTTTGTTTTGTTGCTACTTTTGCCGCCAAGAAATGAAGAGTGAATTCAATCTTATGAGACCCCCTTAAATATTTTTAAATTTGTAAAATGGCCAAAAATCCAAATGATCATGCAGCAAGCAGGAACCCCCCTCCCCACTGTTTTTTTTTTCAAAGTATTGAGCACTTTTGGAATTTAGGGAGGATGTTAGCCACACCTTTACAAAATCTTGCCAATGGACATTTGACCAGCTATAAACAGGCAGTATATCTATAAAGATCTGGCTTATCAGTTGTACAAATAAAAGCAAGATGTCAATCAATCAATTGTAGATGAATTAACGGTATAATGGACTCTGGTTCTGTCTGTTTTCCTGCAGATACTCATTTTTCTGAAAAGAACCTTAAGGAAAGGTATGTAATGTCCAGGATTCCCAAATAGATTTATAAGTGTATCTGTATAAAGTATGTATAGCCTACTTCGTCTCATGCAAGACAAGGTGACAGATCCACTGTGTTTTTCAAGACAGTCATTTTAGGCACTATAAATTGATTTTATAATCTCATGAATTAAATTGAAATGTCTTTATATATAGTGAGGAAAACGTTGCTGCAGAGAGTGATTATAATTGGATCTGCTGAGCATAGAAGCCAGTTCCCATTCATCAGCATAGCTAAGTTTTTTTTCAAATGTAGGAACCTTAAAATGTGTGGATATCAAATCGCAGAATCCTCCAGCCTGCATGGTGACTGAAGAATTCTGGGAGCTGAAGTCCAACATCTTAAATTTGCCATGTTTGAAAAACACTGCCATAAATACTATCATGCTACATATTACATTCTATAAAGAGCATCTTTTTGGCAGCAAATTCAAAGTTTACTGTTTTTGTAATCATATGTTGGTTAGCTGAAGTGTATTAGATTTTCTTTCTTGTTAGAACTTATGCAGTGCATAAATTACCTTTTCCATCACATATAAAATAAGGCTATCCTTTCTCAGCTTGTCAGCTATTGAAATAATGATTGATCTGTTTGGACAACACAGGGAATTAGCCTTGAAATAGCAGACTGAAATAGCAGACACAGTTTTGTTTTGAGCTAAAATTAATTTTTAATTCTAGTATTGAATCCCATGCTAACCCTCTTTCTTTTGACTCATTAACTGTTACATTGCAGTGTTTCCTTTTAATGACGATAGTAGTTGTCACATTATTTATATTTTAGCAGTAAACCACAAATACAACAACAAGCTGGAATTTCTAAATTAGATACTCCCTTATAAGCCAACCTTGTGTTGCCTCCGTCCCATTAATTAGCGAAAGGCAGGGCACTGATCTGCAGTATATTGGCATAGCTGAGGTGATCCTTTCATTTCTTCTGGTTAGTTGACCATATAGTAAGCTGACTTGTCCCAACCTTGGGCTCTCCAGAAGTATAGGACTACCCTTCCCATCCTCCCTTTCCAGGATGGCCAAGAGATGTGAAATGCTTAAGCAAAAGAAAGAGTGAGGGGATTACTCAGGCCTGATCTTGTTAGACAAGCACTTCTTCTCTTTACAACTAGAGATCCTGTTCAGAGAGCTGGAGATGCGGCAAGTTGCTTTGCGCCATTTAATACATTTTCTCAAGGAGGCTGGAGACCAAAAACTTCTCCTAGACCTGTTGAGGTAAAAGCCCTTGTGAGCATACAGCCAAAACTGATATCTGAGCAGGAAGTTGAACAGGTCTGATATATGGTGGTTTTTTCCCCCCTTTCTAGATTCCTGGGCAGGACTGAAGAAGTTGCCGTGAGTATCCCATGTTGCCTAGACTCTTTTTTTTTTTAGTAGGAGGAAACAATAATATGCTGAGAAATTGAAGGCAAGCCACATGGTACTTACTCTCAGTTAGGAAAAATGGAAATTATCTTCCTAACTCCTCTGGAAGGAATACATTTGAGTAGATGGGGCCAGGGCTACCAAACCTTGATTGAATATTTAATCTGCTCTCCTCCTGAGCCTGTTTTGTCTTGTTGCCACCATCTCCAGCTGACCCAATACCGTGAACATTTGACTATCTCGGATGCTGAGAAAAGAAGGGAGTTTCTGAAAAGTTGCATTGGGTAAGTGAAAGTTATGACGAAATAAAAGGAGAATAAGCCTTAGAGCAGGGGTGTCAAATTCACGTCGTCACATAACGTATTGGGACTTCCCCCCCCCCCCTTTTACTAAACCAGGCAGGGCCAGCACATGACTTATCCGGCCCATGGGCTGCACATTTGACTCCCCTGCCTTAGAAGTAAGTAATTGCAGCATTAATGGGAAGGAATCCTTATTGTTTTCCACAAAGTAAAACAATGGAAAGCTATAAGGAAGAGGCTTTCCTTTGGGGAGAAGAAAGAAGAAATAAGGAAAAGAAACAACGTCATCGATGTACCACTAAAATACTTTCCATGACTTTTAACTGTGTGAAATGGTGCATCACAGAGCAACAGTTTTTGAACCAAGGTATCTCAAATGGGTTAGCTTACAGAATGTGTCCAAAATCTGGTAGCTATGATTTCCAGGGGATTGAAATTTGGGGAAGTTGTGGCTGTTTCAGTATTCCTGGTTGCTGCTGGGCTGCTGATGGGGTCATGTGATCTTCATTTTTCATTTCTGTAACAATTTCCCAGCCTGTCTTGCCATCCCTCACTCCCTCTCCCACCTAACAGCAGCCATTAATCTGCCTGCTGAAATTTCAAATTTTTAATAGGATCTGTATGCCGCCCACTCCCTAGGGAAAAAAGGAAGGGGGAGGGAAGGGAGAAGGAGAGAAGATTTCAGAAGCTCCCAGCCAACCTCCCACAAGGAAATTCTAGGGGGAAGCTGGTAGGAAATTGGAAGATGCTCCTGTTCCCACTGCTGTTTTGCCCCTTGATCATTCTGTTTCTCTATTTAGGGAAGGAAATATCTCTGAAACAAGGTGGGGCATGGGTTGTCTAGTAGCTTCAGAGTTATGTACTGTGTAGAGAAATGGTCTAGCTGACCATTTTGGCAAGTAGAATGGGTGGCACACCTTTGACTTGGACCCACATAGCTCTTTTTGTATTCAGTGAATAGCTTGTAAAGTTCATTGGGCCAGAATTATTCTTTGTTAACTGAACTTGCGGAGTACCCAGTTGGAGAAGACTGCCTCACTGCACCTGCCTTTGAATAAATATGATTGTGTTTTATACAAAGGAAGAATGCAAAAGTGAACTCCTACCACTTCTCCAATCTAGGTTGCCCTTTTCATCAGAGGATGCTGCTCATGTTCAGGATCATTATACACTCTTGGAGAGACAGATTATCATTGAGGTAAGGTCCTACACTGTCACTGGGTACATGGCAGACTTCTTGGCTTTCACCCACTTGTTGTAACACCAAACTTTTCATGTGGACTAAAAAGAAAAGTAGACAGGGCCAAAATATTAAATCCTCTCCCCCTCCCCTTTTAGATCAGAGGGTTAAGGAGAAAAACAGGTACCATAAACCTTATAGACATAGAACAAAAGAAAGAGATTATCCTAGGGCTGGAAAATTTGCCCATGCCTGCCATAATGAAGCTACCATGGCAGATGCTGGGTGACTGTTTCAGAAGTCCTTAGAGAAGGCAAATCTTTTCTTGGGCTTCCATGATTATTGCCATACAATCTCAGAAAAATAAAGGACGTTTCTGAGATACAGATATTACTAATGTAATCGTTATCCTATTCCTCCTTTGTGAAATTCAGTAGGGCTTGGAATAAGTGAAGCTAACGGGTAATGACTAGGACAAATTCATGGAGACCACAATTTTGTCCAGACTTTCTTAGGAGAGAACACTTTTGAACATAGGCTTATATTTCTGGGTAAATATGGCAAGGATTGCAACCCTCTTGTTGGGATTTGATCCTGATTGTCTTTGAAACTTTTTTAAAAAAATGTTTTGATGTAACATTAAATGTCTTTATCCTTATGGAACTCTTTTTGTTCTGATTTTTTCCAGGCAAATGACAAACATTTAGAATCATCTGGGCAGACGGAAATCTTTCGAAAACACCCTAGAAAAGCTTCCATTCTAAACATGCCATTAGTCACCACGCTTTTCTATTCCTGCTTCTACCATTACACAGAAACTGAGGTTAGAACTGCGGTAGCAATTGGGATCTCTGTGTTAATCGGTAAAGCTGGTGTCTTTTCAGAATAAAAAGAGTTCC